CCATTGAGTGAAGTAAACTGAGTCCTACGGGAGAAGTAGTTGATTAATATGTTCAAGACTTCAGGAGTTAGACCACACTCAGAAAGACGATCAATAATGATCGAGAGAACCAAAAGCGTTTGTATAGTCAAGGAAAGTTAAACGAGTAGTACCAGCGCCATTGTCTAAGACGGAAGCAACAGAATGAACAATATGAGCAACGGCGTCAAGTGTAGATAAATGGGGTACTAGAAGTACTAGAAGTCGTACTATAGTTTGAAAGTTTCACAAGTAACTCGCTCGCGGAAATTAAAGAAACGTTAGATCGTTAGATCGCGGTGTAAGACATGGTTCGTTGGCGTTTCAGTACATTTTTCAATGATGACCGATAAAAGAGGTTAGCCCTGTGGTAGCGAGGACCTACCATTTGGCAAAGGGAACTGTCAAACTAAACCCTGGAAACTGATTTAACGATCTACATGGGGTCTCTAATAAGAAAAGAATGAAACCAGAAGACAAACCTGTGTTGCATTATGATTTTGTATACATGTTTTCACCGGGCAGAATCAACCCATTGTGCGAAGACGAACAATTGTTTTCAAATTATTCATAATCGTGCCAGTTGATCATATAAGAGTTTTGTTTTTGGCGCTGGGCATTTGCATTTTTGCACCAGAACTATGCGCACAAAAGCAGATAGTTCTAGCTCTCCGCTTATCCCGGCCTCAAATTAATCATCAATATCAACACCACCACCAACACTCTGATCACAATCAATCTCACCCAAACACAGACACATAAGATTCACCCCACCCCTCCCCTCTCCCCATCCCAAGTGACCTCTCGTCTTCCTTGCGTGAAAATGTGCCTCAACTAATAACAAACCCCCTTATCTGATCTATACAGGCAAGAATATGAATCATTAGAGAACAATTGTTCTCTTTCCGACTTGTGTACTGATAAGTGTTTTCGTTTAACTTTTTGCTTTAATACATGCTTCATCGAAAAAGAAACTTTGAATAAAACATTCCTATTCAGTATTATTTCCCGACCAATAAAAGTAAATTTGAACTGTACTTTCAGAAAAGACAGTTGTACCTATTTTACAGAAACATTGCATTCATTGTATTCTTTGCCTCCTGTCCTCAACGTCGCACCTAATCATGAATCAGCTTGAACTTTTCTATTCGACGGGGTTGGTTGGTTGCGGTAGTGGGTACCGTGGGCTCCGGAAAGTCTTCTCTATTATCCGCGTGCCTCGGCGATCTCACTCGAAGGAGTGGGACTGCCGAGTTAAAAGTAAGTTCCTTTATCATAATAGAATACATGATTATTCTTAAATCGTGCTTACTTTTTCTTCGGTTTCCTGGCGTGCAGGCGATATTGGCTCTCCGTCAGGCATGAACCGGTGCAGCCGAACATGATTCTACGTTGTATGTAGTGTTTTGAGGAATGAACAAATAAATCTGGCAACAGAAAACTACTAATGATTTTTTTATAAAACTACTTGGCTCATTAACATAAACTTTAGTCTGATTAGTGGCACTATCATATTAGCACGTATTTCCCTCAATCCATGGAATCGGATTCATTGTGTCACTTAAATCGGGTCCTTAGGTTGCGTAATTTATTCCAAACCTTCCCATAGGTTTGCTCTGCAGTCCAACGACCAGCCATGTACCAATAAAATCAGTAATCTAAGACCGTCAGAATTTCAACTCTGCACGTAGAGGAACCAAGAAAAAGTGGAGTAAACGGTAATGTAAACATTTTTGCTTGCTTTCATGTCCATATAGTGCGCTGTAGTATTATTTATTACTCTGAGGTCCGTTGGAGTAGAAGGTTTATTTTTAAGGCTGCTTTCAAAGATCTACAAAGAACATCTTGACCTTTAGGTCAGTAGGAAGTTGCTTCGCTATCCACTTGAGGTCGGTGATCTAACAGTCGGATTCTACACGTATGGGCACAGCTCGTCTGCCTGGGGTGCCCGATGAACTCCATAACAAGTCAAGCAGCTAATTATATATTTGATAGTCCTCTAGCGTGGTACGGCAATTTGTCTTGAGTTGTTTGAATCCCGGATTCTCGTAAGTTCGTCCCCTGCTGATGTCTGGTCAATCCAGTTGGAAAACTCATCAGGAGAAGGCAATGAGCTCAATATCTCTAGCAGAGGCTAGGATTACGATTCGTGAATAGGTCAAGTCAAAGTCAAAGTTTTATTATTGGCGATTTAACAAAGTTAAAGCTTATTGTGCCCCATAGGATTTCTCTAGAATATTTTGAATAACGTCACAAAGAGAAAATAATAATACCAATATGCATGATCATTCACGGATGTCGAACTTTTAAGTGTTCCAATGTTTTTTCAAGTTGCGATTTAAATAGTTCAACTGTAGGAGCACACAGTACATCGGATGGAAGAGAATGCCATACGCAGCACACTCTGATCGCAAACTAGTGATGTGGGCCATCAGGGTGGCTGTTGTGAGACTTTATCTTCAGAGTAAATCAAGAGAGTGATAGTCGAATATCCCAACCGTGAAACACACATAGCATTAAAGTAGATGAAAGCAATATAGTCCCCATTGGATTGGTGCCTTTTAAACTATTTCTCCTGAGGATCATTTGAACGCACCGTGTATTTCACTAGCACTAACTGAATACCGGCCGTCACTACCCATTTTTCCATCTTTCTAGTTATAGAGAATTGGAGAAGACTATCCAGCGGGTGAAGACACCTATCCCGTAATTTAGAAAGAAATTAGTCAGCTAGAAATTTATGTTTTAAGTGTGATTTGTTTTATGCACTTCATTACGAAAACTTATACCATCTACCATCATTATGTTTAGGGAACCACAGCCTACGTGCCTCAAACAGCCTGGATACAACAGCAAACTTTACGCGATAACATTTGTTTTGGCGAATCCCTCGAATCTTCTCCGTCCTGTCGAGACACGCTGACTGGAAAGCGTGAGTGGTATGACACAGTGATCAAGGCGTGTGCACTTCAAACTGACTTGGATCGGTTGTCGGCTGGTGATAAGACTGAGATTGGTGAGCGTGGGGTCAATCTATCAGGAGGTCAACGGCAACGTGTTAGTCTGGCTCGTGCAGTGTTTCAGGTGATTCACATGACAGCATTGTTTCTATGATGTTTTCAAGTTGTACCTAACTTAAACAAACGTACAATGGACAAAAAATATAACACCCTCTATCAGTTGACTGTTATTCGTTCAATCAACACGTGTTCAAGAATGGACGTACTTTGTTAACGGTCTACTAATTGACACGAAAACGTTATTCTCGTAGTAAATGGATTGTTATACCCCCTTTAGGCCCATACCTCTTTGTCCTGATCAATATGTACACCATTCCGGACAGAAACAAAATGATACGGATATCATGGAAGGAAAAAAGACAGATTTCTTAACTCCTCCCCAAAGATTGTATCGTAATCCTTGCATGAATATTTGAATCAATGATAGGTGACCAACTGAAGCTATTTCGTTAAAGGAGACCAAATGCTTGCATCGCACGATTCAGGTTTTGGGGAATATCCAAATGTGGTTTCCACTGAGAAAGACACAAAACTGGTGATGGAGATGAATAATCTCTTCGTGTGGTTGACAGAAAACTTTCACGGTCACAAATGAGGAAGCTATTTATTAGCTGTTTATAGTCCATTTAAACCCAATAGATTTTGTATCTTTCTGGAGAAATTCATATGGACTGTCCCTACACGGTGACGCTACTTGATCAGTTTGTTCCAGTACCTTAGGTTATGGTACTAACTTCATAAATGTTCTTTAACAGATTAGTTAAAAAAAATAGATCTTCAGTTTTATGATAAACCACAAATTGACTTCGTTAGTCTGGTGCTTGTTTACCCGTTTTTGCCTCGTCCTCCAAGTTGTCATCGTCCACTGGTGAACGACCCCGAAAGGTGATCAATTGGACGAAAACGTTTCACTTTGATAATCGTTGCTGACTAATGCCTACTACCCATGACAGATCTAAAATCTCCGCACGCATAAAACTGGATAGCTCCGTTTGATAATGATCTGGCCACTACACTGATCGAACTATTAATTTACCCTAAATCTTTGAAAAATGCTTCCACGAAAAATATTTAGTAATATCATGATCTCACCTGGTTTCTTTATCGATGTTCGCAAGCCACAATTGATGCCCTTGCCTCATCTTAAACGTATATTTTATCTGCACAAAACCGTTTATCGTATCCTACGTTACGGTCAAATCAGTACGCTTTATCCTTCTGCGTACGGCTGAAGTAATTGCAATCAGACCGCTTACCCCCAATATGCAATCAAAAACGTTTCGTCTGTGCACTTCCCCTACCATGGCTAGTTGCCAAGCGACAAATTGATTGGGGTATGGTAACTGGAAGAAGGTCGTAACCCAGGGGAAGCTCGATCAAAATACTGACGCATGTAGAGTTGCTCTCCAATTACAGCAATTAAATCTACCTCGCACTGGGACAAACAGTAGTGAATGCTTTAATTGTGAATATCCAGTTGATGAATTACAAAAACTACAGCTTATTTCGCCCATTCGACTTTAGCTTTGCTGATTCGCTGGTTTTCATGAGAAAGTCCCTTCTGTCGGTGTTTTACAAGGCTGTGTTCGATTTTACTTGAAGTTATTTGAACTACTCATAAGTTTGGATTCTCGAACTATAACCGACACTGTCATAATCATCTAAGGACAACGGAATTTTTATCTTTTTTTCGAAATTCAGGAGAATCTTTCGTAAATTGAAGTCTACGGTGCCATATTTACTTCGCTGAAGATGCAGCTTTTTTACAGGGTTCCTGAAAAATAATATTTAGAATAAACACTTCCAGAAGCTAACGACAGAGAAGTTAGCTCATCATATCCTCTAAAACTTTTATTTCGTTATATAATTCAACTCCCAGGATTGAGAGATTACTAGCTGGCAGAACAGAACAGTGTGTCTTCGTGGCCACCGAGTCTACTACTCAACAAACTGAATAGTTCAACAAAGAATGAGTGATTATTTTGTACTGGTCAGTAGTTGTTAATCTAAACCGTCTTCGGTTTTCAGGTTCCACTATTAGATTGTAATGGCTGGATGATGTCTTTACCAATGATACTTAATTCACGTCTATAAGCACTTCAGGTACTTATATGAATAGAGCAGATTATTCCCGTGGTTTCGTTTCTTGAGTAAACCACATGATTACAATTATGTCCATTTTGGTACAGAATTGCGACGTTTATTTGATGGATGATCCACTGTCTGCTGTCGACTCGCATGTTGGTAAACACTTGTTTGACCAAGTGCTTGGTCCAGACGGTCTCCTGAAGGAGAAAACACGTGTGGTCAGCACAAATGCATTTCACTGGCTGCAACAAGCAGACTGGATTCTGGTGCTTAATGAGAACGGTCAGTTGGTTCAATCGGGTACCTATCACGTGAGTTTAACTGTCTCCCATGGGCGAGCGTTTGTACACAATCAATTAATAAATAATATTTCAAGTTTTTTCTCAAATCCGGCTGTCTGTGAAGAGTTGAATGTACGTTGCAACACTTTAATCGTTGCTGCTATATGGCGCAGATCGGACATGTGACGTTGAGGTTAAGAGCAAAGTTTTAGGTGATCGCGTTAATCCACTGGAGGAAAATGGTTGATTTCCATAGGTGACGTTGGTTGAGGTTTTGATCGGCATGTCACAAGATAGATTGCCACGACGCGCATTGCTTTCCTCGGCAGTTGATAGATGGTAAAAAGTAAAGAGTGGTCATATATATATATATATATATTCACACACGCCTGAATCCAGACTGTGTGCCAAACAAATCATGGCATAATAGCCTTTATGAAAAAGAAAAACGTTCCATGATTTGCATGTGGGCGAGATACTGCCAGGTTGCCCTGGTCAAGGCAGGTGGATTTTCTTGAGGAATCCACAACCGGAGACTTTGGTTAGCCAAAGCCTGCAATACAGCGGGGCGGTGTGTGAAAACCACAATCCATAGGCAGCCGGTATCCAAATAATCGGATGATACCCTATTTGGACGGGGTCAAACGTCGAAGGTGCCCAATCGAGCCGGTGAACACTGCCACAACCAGGAAGTTGTGTGTGATTCGTGTGCCTGCTCTTGGTTAGTTTCAACTACCAGTGGTCCACCAACCCGGTTATAGCCCCAAATGTCGGCTATTCTTTCCCTCACTTTGGTGGGAAAACACCTCTGCCTTGAGAAGGCAGTGAGTAGGAATTCCTCAGCAGAAACTATTTGAGACGCTTGGTATTATAGGAGCATTTCGTGAGGTGCAAGAGAAGGGTAACTAGCCGCAACCCTAGACACACACTCTCTATTACACCGAGACTTTTGGAGGTAGAGGGTGATCAAACTAAAAACTGGCATAAAGATATGAAAGCCCTAACCAAAAGACTTGTTCACCCAGGTCACATTAGGCTTCCTGGAGGGGGCAGACTAGGGTTGCAGGACAAAAATTAGTAGATGCATGTGTACCCCTGTTTTACTACACAGAGTCATAACGCTCATTGTTTCTAAGCTTTGGTTACCCCGATTCCGAAGACCCCGTCCAGAAATCTTAATGCAACCTATGTGAGTGAGTCTGTTCGTCAGTGTTCCCTCCCCCATATTTTAACACTCATTACCTGCCTCAAAAAAATTTGCGCACAGCGGAAATCTATTTGGTGACATGCCTGACACGTGCCCCGACGAACATAATTCATGGGAATCGACCACTTGCCCTAGTTTACGACCACGATCATCCGTTTTTCTCAATTTATCTAACGAGTGATTCAAACGAATGTAAGAGTTCGCGCCTTCATTTATTTCCTAACCTTACCCAACTTCGTAAATCAATTCCGGTCAGAATTCAAGACTTTGCATTCCATTGAAAACGTGAAGTAATGTGGAAGTTTGTTTTGCTACACATGCTTTATCATGAAATTTAGGACCTACAACAGGGGAAAAAACCGTGCACTACAAAGCGAATATCATAGATATCATCATTCGTTTATGTGATGTTATCTACACTTCAGGACATTGCACTCAACACATCCGGACACTTTGCAGAATACTTGAAAAACCTCGAGAAGCAACTTCGTGAGACAAAGAAAGGTAAAACTGCCAGGGGATTGGTTCACTCAGTCCCAACCCGTTTTTTGTCAATCAGGTCGTTCAGTTTGTAAATAGCATCACATTTTCTCCGTTATTATTTATTAATGGAGTATTGTTTTTGTCTTTACAGTTATTTCCTCTATTCATTCAAGTATTCACGAGGAATAATCTAACTAATTCCGCTATGAAACAGAACTCCGAGAGAATGGACAGGGTTCAAAGTTAATTGTATCTCGTAACGATTTGATTTCAGTCTTCACTATTTACATTTTGCATCGTTTTCCCGAGCTTGTCCTGGTTACAGTCGATTATTACTGTACCAGAGCTTATCAGCGGCTATTTATTTATCACACTGAATATACTAGTGGGCATATATTCATTTTGAAAGTTCATTATCGCAACTCAGGTCAGCTGTATGTAAAACATCAAGGGCGCTCAAACTAATTCCGAACATGAAGGTTTGAAAACTGTAACCGGGATACTCGGTTATATAGGTTGCGTTCTGTTACCTAATTGAGATCCCCGGGATCAGTTTAACCGGTGATGAGAGACATAGTGATATGACCGAGTGTCGCATGAAGTGGCTATCGTACATCTCCTCAGTATACTTTGAACCTTAGTCTCCATGATTTCTCCATGTTATTTTTGATTCTGCTCTCAACATTCCTTCTGTTGTGTTATTCCAATGGACAGTTAAAAGATAAAAAGTAAAACCTCTACTCGAAAGTGCATTGATAATGGTTGTAAAAACTGAAATAAACTGGGGAAAATACTGCGGGCAGACGGTAGAGTTTTCAACTTAAATTCATTCCGGGAGAAAATGTGATTGATTGGTTCTCAGTTTGCTTGACGGGATGCTCAATCTGTTAGCACCAGAAAGCACGCACATTTTTTATTTTGCTCCCATTTTATTGAATATTTCATGTGAAAATTATATCATTTTCATGAAGAGGCTGTCGGGCTGATATACAATACATAAAATGGAGAAAGCCAGGAGATAACCTGGCACCCTTGACCACCACGGCCGTGTCGAATGTGTCCAGCAGCGGACGCTTTGGTCGTTTAATGCTAACTATTGTCTAACTATTCATCGCGTAACCTTCGGATTCGCATAGTTCCTTGATGCCTCTGATCTGCCGTTCGATGTTCGTTCCTCCAAAATTCTTTGAGCTGATCGAAAAACAACACTGTTTTTTGGGGGGAGGGGATTTATCAACAATGCGTTCTTTCCAGATAATTTCCGGGACTCGAACCGAGAGCCTTCAGATTGCTAGCACAAACCTTTACTCCTGACCCGCGCGAGTAAGACTCAACAACTTGACCGAATAGTCATATTAATTTAAGATTTTATCTTTGTTTAGGAGAATCGCTTTTTGCAAGAAATAAATCGTTTCTCTTCTCTATTGCGGCCATCAAAAATAGTTCTACAGCCATGTAGGAAATGAACAAACTCGTCATTGAGCTCATCACTGGAGGTCACAAAACGTTTCCTGCGTCAAGCAAAACCGAATAATTTAACCCTTTTATCGAACCTTGTCGAAACTGGCTCCTGGTAGCTGCAGTAATTAGGATACAGATATAATAACTCAATTGTGTTTGATTGATTTCAGTGTTTGAGACACTCGCTATCAGGCGTTATGTCGTTGGTTTTCTCCCCTCAGAGTCTTTTTTCAGTGTACACTCATGTCGCTCTTACGAATTTACTTAGTTCATCATTCTTTAGATTTCATTCATAGAATATTGCAGTTTAGGCTTATTGTGAATTAGCCAATGCAACCATCTTCAGTGGTCTCTATCATACTAAAACGTTTTCGAAGGTTCTTGCCCGATCTGTTTGCGAATCACACAAAGAATATATGAAAATTACTTACTTATTTTCTCATATTTTTACAGCTGGGAAACCAAGCACCCCAATTATATCCTCAACCGAAATAGTCCATGATAAGTCAACAGAGTTTCGCAGTTCAAATGGGGTAAGCGATCGTAAAGAAACTAATGAAATCATCGTTTTCCCCTCATCTTTTTAATGGATCCAACCATCATTTCTTAATGCTTTCCGCTTTCCATAGTTTATTGCACCCTCAATCTTTTAGTTCACTTTGCAGTTCAACCCACAACTTTTCCCAATTCTTTGTTTCGATTTTCATTGTCTACTCAGTTATCCTAGTACCCATAACGGAATATCTTGGGTTGATGAGGAATATGGGTATTGGCTTAAATGGCGGGGAGCTATCTGTGCCGCTGATTTTGTTGCAGCCTTAGATTGCAGGACTGTCATCTTTTCCTGCCTAAAATCAATGACGTGCAGTTGCCGTGGTTGATGGCTTTGATGTTCTAATTTCGGACATATCCAACCTGCTTGCGGAATCTGGTGTTTTTGCTTTGAATTAGCCAGCTATGTAGCCTCTATAAAGCGGTTCCAAGCGCATTCCGCTCGTGTGTTTAGGCAGCGGATTGAGTGCACATCTGCGCGGATTCCTGAGCACATCGGGTACACCCCTTTCTCATCATTCCCATACACTACACCTTTAACGACTTTGTTTTCCGAAACCCGTGCAAGGATAAGATACTAGTATCATATAAAATAAAACAAAAGCTTGATTTACTTACCTGTGAGAGTAAGAAACTAGGCTATGTAACAAAACCTATGAACACGGTCAATTTTGATAGAAAAAAAACGAGTTATTCGAAGGCCAAACCATCCGAGTATAAAACAATTTCTATCAATTTTCTAGAAAAAACAGTTTGTGAAATAACCTAATTTATTTTCTGCCGAAAAGAGATTTTTGCAATATACCAAAGGTCAATCAACAGAATAGCACACTTCAAGGTACATTGCTGAAATAGATAAACCGAGATAGGTTGACAAATGTATGCGACACAACATAACACTGATAAAGCTTCACGATCAGCTAGATGAAATGGTCTATTCTGGGTGAAGTACCACTAAGGTCGTTAAATCACAACAACCCAGGTGACTAAAAGATGTCTTTGATTTGGTGCTAAGTCGACCGATCTACTGTTTTCAGATTTTCAGATTTTTCAAAAGCCTACGGCACCATATTCTTACGATAACTGCTGATGGTTGGAATCACACCTATCCTGCGGGAGCTCAGGCAACCGCTGTGCGAAACTCGAAACGAATAATAATACCATTCATAACACAAATACGCTTCTCAAATGGGATTTGGAGCAATACAAGTATCTTCGAGGGGCCCGCGTCCCGTATCGCTGTCGTCATTTTCTTTTCCGATTGGTATGAAACCAAATGCTTACTACCCCAAGGTGAAATTTCAGCTAAAAGGCAAACTTGGAATAAAACAAAACACCTGTGCTTCAATCACAGGGTTTTATCATGTGCTAAAGTAATCTATTGTCACTAATCAGCACTCGCCATTTGTTCGCAGTGTTGTTAAACCGATGGTTCTATCTGATTTTCTCAATCTTGCCGTGAAAAACCTTCTTCCGTTTACAATTTTATTGTAATCAAATTCTAAAATGCCACCTTTTTTCTTCGTTTCTAACCGCCCCCATCGTTGTTTAAATGATAAAAAACATGATTTCAGCAACAAAACGTATCCAGATTCAAATCTATTGGAACACAAATAGCCCCCTCTCGATTTGGCAAATCTGGGAACTTTTTCCTTTCCCTAAATATAATTCTTCCATAATTGGTTTAGCACACAGCCCATCCTTAGACGTGTGCGAACTAT